AATCACGGCTTATATTTAACAGCTTGTACATGGATACACTTTACAGTAGTTAATTATGACTGTAAAACTGATAATTGCTGTTAATGGCGCTATGAAAATATGACATGTAACAAGTAGTGTTTTTCTTTATTCTCGCGTTAAGTGTGTAAATGGTTTTTAGTTAATTTCTGCCTACTCAGACGAATATACACAAAGAAGGGATTAAAACCAACCGTTTTCTGAGATTATAAACACCTATTGTTAAGTGAAACAGTTACCTTTCTGACCAAGTTGCGGTTTCGGTAACCCATGTACTTTTCTCCCTTATCTGTCCTATTTATACCTTTCATTCCATGTAGACCTCTGCATCAAGGTATTTGGAAATGTCCATGTTTTATGCATACATTTTTTTTAATTGTATTTTTCTAATAAAATACAATAATTGATTAATTGTTAAAACCTAAGTAGGCCTATGTTCAGTATTGTAAATGTGTGGATTAACTTGTTAGGGACCCCTGAGAAATGAGAGCATAATTTGGTTGGCTGGACGGTTAATCTGTCACTCAACGGTCGCTGATTCGTTACCCAGAGCTTGTTAAACAAGCCACTTTTAGGATATCTATTCAGATAATAAGATTCCTTTTAACCGTATATTCTTTTGTAGACGACCCATCTTTGGGTAATTTAGAGCAATTTGTCTCGTAAATCAGGGTCTTAGTGGGATAATGAAACATTGTTGTCTAATACTTACCGCGAATTAACTGCAACATCTTAAATAACAAAGTTTGAATTAACTTTAATTGCTCACGCTAAACGAGCAGAAGAGAGTAAAGAAATCGTATAATTGACGTGCCTCTACATTTTAAGAACGGTAGCCAGATTGCGTTTTCAAATAGACCTCCCGTTACTCCATTTTCACAATTTGATTCAAAAGTTTTAAAAAAAGTAGTAATAGACAGTACCCTTGAAAAACTATTAACTAAATAACAGTCATAGTTAACATAGGCCTAGATAATAGGGTCGAGTTGAAAGCCTGTGTCAACTCATTTTACTTGTTTAGAGTAACGTCTCCTTCAAAATTTATTAGTTTGCCTAGTGACCCAGCCTTCGTCTTAATTATACATTAAACAATTATTCATAAAATGTGATTAGTGAATGTAGCTTTTGCCAGAAAAATTAAAAATAATGTAAAAATGTACGATTCTTACTCTTTGTAATAACAAAGTCGATCATGAGACCAATTCACATGGGCATATATGAACTACAGGCCTATGTACGCATACATATCCTATACACAAACACACACATATATATTTATATATATACATATATACGGTATATAATATCTG